CTGAAGACTCCTTGTGGCCAGCCTGGGCCGGATGCTTGAAGTCCGCCTCCGCGCCAGGCGGCAAGCCGCTGCAGAACGGGGTCCTTTGGGGCCACCGCTGGGCCAACGCGTGCCAGATATGTACTTTGTCGTTGCCCGTGCCACAGGTGCAACCCGCTGCTCCTGGTAGTGCTACTCGAGTCATGAGCCTTAATTTTGAGGGAAGCCTTTGAACGCCCACAGGCCAAACACGAATCCCAAGCCGAGGGTCGCCTCTCGATGGCAGATTTTCCTCCCAAGCGAACTCTCCGATTGAGGGGGTGTGAACAACCCTCTGACAGAGTGGCTGAAGACCACCGGCGGAAGGCTTTTTTTTGGAAAGCCTTCGGCGGAGTCGGAGGGGTCATGTTTCAGCCCTCCAGCAGAGTTTCGGACCCCCGCTGGAGATTTTTTGTAGAACACATCTAAGGGAGGGGTTTGAATTGCCAGCGGACGTCCTTCCGACATAAGCATTTCCAACCGAAGAATTATGTTTTGGTGGAGGGCTTTTGAAACATCCCTGTGGTAGAGATATGGTGGTTAAAAGACCGTTCTGGCCGATGAGTTTCAAATATCTGGCGGATTCTATCTGAGATAATCGTTCTTTAAACGAGGAGCAATCCAGCAGATGGATGTTGTACCTCTGTCGGAAGGCGTTCTGTACGCATCCAGCTGGCACATTGCGGGTCCCAGCTGAATTTTTTTGATGGCATCATTTTGTGGCCGTGGTTTTGAGCCCGCCAGCGACATTTGTATTGTTCTTGCCTTTTGGCCCGAACCAAATTCCGTCCCTCCCCCCACCCCTTTCCCGGCCAACTTCAGGAGGGGAAAAATCGCACAGACACAACTAATCGTCGATTCCCCAGAAAAGATGGGAAACTATGGGAAGTGGGGGGGAAGAAAGAAACCCAGAACATATGGGAAAATGTGGGGACTCTGGTTATCTGTGTCTATCTATCTATCTATCTATCTATCTATCTATCTATCTATCTATCTATCTATCTATCTATCTATCTACCTATATATATATATATATATATATATATTCATTTTATATATATAAATCTATAGATATTAGTGTGTCCCAGTTCGCCTTCACACCTCGCCCATTTTCCCCCCGCGGACTGCCACCCCAGTCTCCTTGCTGGTGCTTCTCGAGGCGATGCTGGGCATCATCTTGTGGCCGTGGTTTTGAGCCCGCCAGCGAAAGCTGTATCGCCCTTGCCCCTCCGCCCGAACCAAATTCCGTCCCTCCCCCCCCCCCCGTTCCCGGCCAACTCGCCCATTCCCCCCCGCGGTGCTGGGCCCCCCAACTTGCCACGCTAGTCTCCTTTCTGGTGCTCCTCGGGGCGATGCTGGGCCGTCTCCTCTGCGGCACCGGTGGCCTTCCCCTGCCGTCGGGGACGCCTTGGAGAGCCCTGGAGAGCTCCAGGGCGGCGTCGGAGGGGCCCAGGAGACCTCGCTCCCAGAGGGGGAGAGGAGAGAGGAAGCCTCGTTCGACTCGTCTCGAGAGGGGGAGACCTCGCTCCCAGAGGGGGAGAGGAGAGAGGAGACCTCGCTCCCAGAGGGGGAGAGGAGAGAGGAGAAAGGAAGCCTCCCCCGCTCTCAGTCTCGTTTCGACTCCCCGTCTCCCGCGCCCCCCCCCCCCGCAGCAGGGCTGCCACGAGAGGGGGCGCGCGCGCGGTGCCGAGAGGGTCGGCTGGTTCTTTCCCAGAGGCGGTGCTGCTCGGGGGGGAGGGGGGCGAGGAGGGGGAGGAGGAGGACGAGGTGGAGGCGGAGGAGGGCGAGAGGAGAAGAGGATGATGAGGGGGACAAGGATGGAGGAGGACAAGGATGGAGGAGGAGGAGGAGGAGGAGGAGGAGGAGGAGGAGGAGGAGGAGGAGGAGGAGGAGGAGGAGGAGGAGGAGGAGGTGGTTTGTTGCCTCAGGAGGAGTGGGCGGATGGGGAGGATGGGGATCGGGGATGGTGGGGGCCGCCAGGGGCGAGTCGGGCGTGCGCCTCCCTTGGGAGGCGGCCTCTCCAGCTCTCGCGCGGTGCCGCCCGCCAGGTCTCGGGGCAGACGACGTCGTGCGCCTCGTGCCCCTACGAGTCGCACATGGGCCGCGTGGAGTACTGCGTGTGCCTCAACGTGTCGATGGGCATGTCGCAGGAGCGAGTGCGCCCGATGTCCTGGCGACTCCATTTCTTCGAGCCGGGCCTTTTCGCCCAAGGTCGTGCCCTGGGACCCTCAGAGATCGACGCGGCTCGAACAATGACGCAGAAAGCTTGGGTCTGGGGCTCCGGTCGTAGTTTTTCACGATGTTGGCGGAGGGAGGCGGATGTAGCTGTCGGTGTAGATGTAGAGGTTGCTTTCCTAGATGCTCCAACTCCTAGGTAGGGTCGCACTGGGATCATTTTTCACGATGTTTTATTTTTTCAAGACGTCGGGTCTCAGGGGCGGAGCCTGCTGGCGGAGGGAGGAGGGCTCCGCTCGTTACAGGAGGAGCGGTGCTGCTGACAGGTGTGTGTGTGTGTGTGCTAGACCCGCGGCGACGACGATGCCGGTGACGGTGTTGGCGCCAGCGACCCTGGAGATGGCAGAAGCAGCAATGCGAGATGGCCAAGACTGCTGTGAGCATACTGATGTGGACATGGGGAGTGCAGTGCTTGCCTCTATGTTCGACGCGATGCTGACCCTGATGGCGCTGATCGAAGTGATGATTGGGTCGGTGGCAATGGTCGCCGAAGAGGAGCCCATCATCACTTCGATCAGTGCCATCAGGGGCAGTATCCAGGTGGTTGCGATGATGGCACGACGACGAGGAGGATGTTGAGGAGGAGGTGTAGCATGACGATGACGACGACGGTAACGACGACAACGACTACGACGATGATGGTGATGATGGTGATGATGCTGCTGATGATATGATATGTGATGATGATGATGATGATGATGATGATGATGATGATGATGATGATGATGATGATGATGATAGTGCTGCTGCTGATGACGACGACGATGTTGACGATGACAATGACAAATGGTGGATGGTGGTGGTGGTGGTGATGGTAATGATGATGCTTATGATGATGATGATGATGATGATGATGATGATGCTGATGATGCTGATGGTGACGATGACGATGACGATGACGATGATGATGATGATGATGATGATGATGATGATGATGGTGGTGGTGGTGGTGGTGGTGATGATGATTGTGATGATGATGATGACGACGATGATGATGCTGATGATGATGATGCTGATGATGATGATGATGATGATGATGATGCTGCTGCTGCTGCTGATGATGATGATGATGATGATGATGATGCTTATGATGATGATGATGATGATGATGATGATGATGATGATGATGATGATGATGATGATGATGATGATGATGATGATGATGATGATGATGATGATGATGATGATGCTGATTATGCTGATTATGCTGATTATGCTGATTATGCTGCTGATGATTATGATCATGGTGATAATGGTGATGGTGATGGTGATGGAATTTACCTCATTGTCCGATGGTAGCCGATGGGACCGCCAACGATCACAGCAAGGTGCCATTCGCCGTGATGATGGTGCCCGAAGAGGTGCCTCCGGGGGCCTTGAGGGCTTCCAGCTGTTTCCAGGAGGCCCCCAACTGTCAGAGCTCCAATTGCTTCCACGGGCTTTCCGGGGGCCTCTCTGTGAGGCAGCGGAGCAGGGGAGATGATTCGGAGAGGAAAGGTGCAGGGCAGTAGAGAGGAGAGGGACATGATAAGTGCGGGAGGAAAGGGAGGGAGGCAGATATCCGACTATTACCGCTTCTGAAGTTTTTGCCGTTGTGTAGATCTGCATCGCGATCCATTGAAGGTCAGAGAGCTTGAGCTTGCTTGGATACGTATGCAGCGTGCAGAGGTGGGAGCACAGGATTTTTTTGCGACGCTTGAGTCCTCAATCCAAATGTGAGAAATTCCCCGAACAGGCCTGACTATAGGAGCTCAAATTCGCTGCCATGTGATCGATCAAATAGCCTTGCTCGACCAATCAATGGCGCTGTGTCTGCCCGTCATCTAGGCTGCAGCAGTGCCGCTGGCTGGAGGGGCGTGTCAGCCATGGCACAAAGCAAGGATAGTTCAAAATCTGAGGTCGCAGAGTCTGGCTGTAGGAAACTCTGACAGCTATGGGTTACGCTGGGAGGAGAAGGTGGAGGAGGATGACTAGGAGGAGGAGGAGGAGGAGGAGGAGGAGG